AACTAAATTAAGCTAAACTAAGCTAAGATAAACTAAATTAAGCTAAGCTAAGATAAACTAAATTAAGCTAAGCTAAGCTAAGCCGTCTTCTGTATAGTACACAGAAAGATTTTCCCTGATGAAGTTTCTTAACCAACTCTTTATTAAAACATTCAGTGTTATGGAAAAGAACCATATTGACAGATATTGACAACATTATAGTCTGTAGGAAATAAAAAGCTATTTTATAATAAAAATAAACGCATCACGTAACAATAAGAGTAAAAAACTGCAAGGACGGTTGAAAATTAACTCATTTCTGTATCCAACAAAGCGGTCATGTCACGTTACAAAAACGAACGACTCGAAAGTTGTACTCATCTTATGCGATGTTGCGCATGCGCAGTCAACACAAAAAGAACGAATCACTCCCCGAGACGACCCGAAGTTCTCGAGTCATGGGAAAGATTCGTTCGTCGTGAACGACACATCACTATTAAGTTGTTTACAAGCAACAAGACAGAGGTAACTGGCTGGGGGGGGCTGTCCAGGACAACACCCCCACCTCAGCCACAGCATGGACAGGGTCCAACAATGCCCAGAACACATTCATTTGTCCCGTCTGTTCCTGTCCTCATGGCACACAGTGGTAGACGGTGCTGTCCACTTCCACAGCAGACATGGCAGAAAATACACAGCGGTGTTGACTTTATGTTTAGGCCAAGACGTTGAACATGTATTTATTTATCTCACAGAATTGTGATTTAGTTGTACTTGTCTTTTGATTTTTGTTAGTTTGAGGCCAACAAAAGTTAGTCACCTTTAGTCCAGCAGTTGCCCAACATGTTTAAGTATTTTGTGAGGCTACATTGGCATCAGAAAGACCAGACCGGCTGTGCTGTACATATAAAGTAAAATGGATAAAACTGCCTTTTTTGTCCGTCAGTCTAAGCTCAATAACCCATAATCATAAAGAGAGAACATGTTTTTGTTCACACAGTTTCTCTCTCTCTTCCTGGCAGAACCGATCAGGTCAGATTGGGCATTTTGCTGTTTAACAAATCAAATTTGCTAATTGGCTCAGTTTGGTCAAAGGGTAACCTATGCTTACATCTACGTGGCCATGTGAAACTTTATAGCATCTCAGAAGCAGAGGCTGTAACATCAGGTCAGGGAGGTCAACTACGTGTGACCCGTATTCATTACTGGACAGGCACTGGAATGTTCACAAACCAACAGCTGAGCAGTGAGACGGGGTCATTTCTCAGAGCTTTCAGTAAAGATTCTGACCACATATGAAGGTGGAGACAGCCACAACCTAATGAAGGATATTTCATGTTAATAACCACAGGAGTGTTTCATACTGAAAAAAGTCTGGCTGCAGAATCGGTTTGAGTAGAATGAGCTCAAAAACAAAAACACGGCTCCACCCTAAGACAAAAACAGCAGGATCATTACTGATATATTTGCAAAATGCTGATAAGCGGAATACTTGCTGACTGGACCACATGAGTGTGGGAACGTGAAAACGATTCACCAACCAAGAAGCAGAGTCCATTGTCCCGGTCATACCATTCAGTTTGACCGGTAATCTCAGTTGAGACAACACATGCTGCTGCCGGCAACATTTCCAATTTGTCCATTTGTGACTCGACAGATGAAATGTTTCCTCAATATAACTCCAGCAGTAGACGCTGAACCTGCTAATCATCAGTGCATGAGCATTGTCACTGTGAGCAGGTAAGTATGATCATTCAGCATTCGGCTCAAAGCCTGTCGGTGGCTTAGATACAGCTTCACATGGCTGCAGGCTTTTACTGCACCCCAATAGCTGCTGCCATCATGCCTTGGTAGAAATGTTTTCTAATCAAATCTGAGAAGTAAAGAGGAGTCCAGTTCTTACCTAGCAAGAGCTCCATGTGAGGACAGGTGAGGAATGAACTGCTAATCAGCGAAAGCAATAAAATCACGTGGGGTCAAAAGTCTACATAAAACTGAAACTGAGTCACACATATCAAACGATCACACACTTGCAAAGTGGAATGTTGACGTTCTATTATTAGTGCCGGAAGCAAGTAGTTATGCAAAGTAAAACAAACACATCTTGTGAGTGTGACTCACACTTATAAACATGTTGTTGTCTGTATCTGTGGCAGGAAGGGTTACCAAGTGTATCTGCCAGTACTCGGGTTTGTTGTTGTTACTATGGAGATAAAATACTATCAAAAATGTTACAAATGCGTGTTTGACGTTTTGTCTGTAACAAGCGATTTGTGTGTGTGTGTGTGTGTGTGTCATGAGGATCACAAATGTGTGCTGCGGTTCACAAATGCGTGCTGTACAAACTGCACGTAAAACACATTTTACAAATGCTTAAAATCAATTTTTCGTGTGCAATTCTTTAGAAAGTACGTACAAATTGTTACCTACGCACGCGTGGATCGTCTAACACACACGAATCACCTTCCGCGCACACACGGATTTTTGAGAGTGTTTTTCCGCACTCTCAAAAGTCCACGATCCACGAATGCACGGTGCGTTTAAGGACACGTGGAAAACTCGGACATCTGAGTTTCCAAACCTGTTTCCCAAACAAAAGTATTTACACAACAATTCATATCATCAGAATATGAAAAGACAAACCATCTGGATTACAGCATTCGTACTGGGCTTTACAGGGGTTGTCCCACCTCAACACCACAAAGTGAGGCAGCAGACCGCCAATCCCTACAGCAAGTAGCCTAAATTCATTCCAATTAAATCGTGCACGTGCAGTTTCTCTAGCGAGGCCCCGGAGTTGCTTCCTATTTGAATTTGTATTCTTCCTGGCATTTTACTTCCATATGTTCAACCTGTAGGCTAGTTTAAAAACACCACAAATCCCCTGGACTGAACTTCGAGTCTTCCGGGAATCCTAAATCAATTCTGGGAAACTCGCAGCCTCCCAGCCAACCACAGAGGTTTGGCAACCCCGATGGTAGGTGGAGCCATGGGTGGAGAGGATCGCATGGATGATACAACAAATGATAAGACATTCATTATTCAAAATGTAGTTTACATAAAATGAAAAGAGTTTCTTCAGACTGTGTCAGCTGTGAGGCAGAGCACCATAAGATTAGGAAAAGAAACGCACGAGTGACTGCTTTGGTTTTACACCACACACATTTATTTTCTGTACATGTCACCAACTATCAGGGTTACTGGATGAAGATACAGTTAACATTTCCCTTTTCACTAGGTCCCAGAAACATTACGTGCTCTCCAGTTATCAGCGCTCTGCAAGAACCTCACATCTCATTCAGGTTTAAATGGAATTTTAAAAATACTCTTTCTCATCACAGGAGGAACTTTATAGGTGCTTTTTAACAACTTTTGAATGTATGGCGACATCACATGTGGAGGAAAATGTTGTGTAATTTGATCTGTTTCTATAAAAGAATCTGGAAAAAGAAATGTCTAAAAATGATTAAAACCAAACACAATGAGCATTAAAATATTGTATGAAAGAGACAACGGCTGCACCTCATGTCTAATGATCGTTCCTCATATAGACTCATATCTGCTGTGAGGAGTGAGGCGGCCGCCTGGAGGAGCACAGGTGAGGACCCACGATACCGCCCTTCAGCCAAGTCCTTTATGAACTGACATGTCTCTTTCCTGGAAATCAGGTGGTGATCAGATGCTTCAGCACCTCATGTCTCTTAAAACATTTCTTCTCTCCTCACATTTTCTTCTTTTCTTCACATCTTACGTGTGCAGGACCAAGACGCAAATGAGGGAAATGGTGGCACAAATAAAAGACTTGGGATGTCCCCATGTTTCACCTGTGCATCGCCAAACCCACTGTGACATTAAACCTTTCATCCCTTCATCAAACCACCTGAGTCGGCTTGGTGGCTTTATGATGCGTCACCAACATTCACGGGGCATTTTCCACCTGGTTGGCTTGGTAATAACCAAGTGAAGGTCATGATGTGAGGTTTCTGAAGGACACTGACAACAGGAGAAAGTCAATGAACCAGCTGAGCACATCCATGTGACACAGATATCAGCTTGGTCTGAAGCAAAAACTGAACCAGACACATCATTTCAAATAGACACACACACACACACTGCATGCATCCAAGAGCTGAGGACACTGTGCAAATTACTGACATTACTTTAAGGGTATTAAGTGCCAAAGAGAAAAAGACTGGCTTCATAAATAAACAATAAAATAAGAAGAAGGAGAAAAATGGTTGAAACGATACTGTGACGACCGCTGGCTCGGTTGAGAGGAGCTGGCCTGACCCTGTCCTATACCTGACAGTTAACTAGCCAGCGGTGTGCCGGCACCTGGCTCAACAAGGAGGAGAACACCTGGTTTGTCTTTTGTGGTTTTATGCAAAATAACTGTGATTTACCTGGCACCGTGTGCTCACAGGAGAAAATGAAATAGCAAACTGAAAACAGTAACAACATTCCCTCAGGGCATCCCGTGTCCCGCTCCAACAGAATCTAAACAACACGCCCACCTGTCATCCCTCTTATCCCCTCCCGCACCTGTTCCTCCCCCATCCCACATTGGCCAGAACAGCGCGGCATTTTGCAGACAACAGCAGTAACCAATACATAAACAGCCTTCAATAACATTGTCAAACCCATTCGCACACAACAGAACACATGAACATCAGCGGCCGGTCAGGGTCGCCACAATACATTATTAACCACCGTTATCACAAAACTTAAACACTGACCTCTCTGAGTGATGCTCAACACAATGTAAAAAATAAAAAACAAACTATAATATATTATGCAGCTGTGACTGCAAACAGCATCGGTTGGACACTGGACCTTCAACATTTCTGTGTTTGTAGTCAAAATGGATGAACTCCAGCTCTTTAGACGCTTAATTTTTAATTTGTCTGGTTTTACAAAAATAACTAAACTGGCTTGATGATTCACAAAGTCATCACCTCCACTGAAACAGTCTAGAGCTGCTCAGAAAGTAAACCATCCAATGAACAGGCTTCAAACTGGTTCAACTGTATGACCATATCTGTGGATGCATCACACCAGCTGTGGATGTTCAGGGGTTTGGTGCTCATCCAGTAAGATCACAGCTACATGATTCATTCCCACTAATGACAAGATAAAGATGTCTTCACTTTATATAACATCAGGATCTTTAACACAACACCACTCAAAGTCATTAGGCTATAATGAAAAAGCCATGTGCGGTAGAATTTACCTTCTTGAAAGATATTCTGCCTCCAGTGTGTGGTCTGCATCCCACAGGCCATCACACTGTGTCCTAGAGCCACTGTCCAACTGGGCTAACAACACTCATTAGGTCTCACAGATGTGGAATTGTCTCCAAGTGAAAGCGACCTGAGCTTTACTACTTGAGAATCATTTTCAACACGATGGACTCGAGGAGGCTCTTTAGTTCCAGCAGAAGAGTTCAAGGTTTCCTTACTTACTAGAAGCCAGTGGTTATACAATAACATCTGGTGCTTTATTTTGTGTCTCATTCACACATGCACATCTTTACTAATGCCTTTTTTACATCCATCCCATTTTCTTTGGGACTTTCTTATTTTACAAGGTGATAAACAGAAAGAGTCATGGCTTGTTACAATCCTGAGGAAGTGGGGAAGGAAGGTGTGGAAGTCCATTGATGTTTACTCTCCTCACCACCTGCCCGGGTCCTGGTCCTCCAGCTTCAGCCCCAACCTCCAGAGTTTGGGTCAGGCTAACCTGGGCAGTGCTGAAGGAGGTTATTCGGCCACTTCCAGCGATCTGAAGGTTGACTGTTGTGGCGTAACTGGTCCTCTGGGTCCCAGGTTTGGTAGGAGAGGAATGAGCAATAAGTAGAGATGATGGGCTTGAAGGCAAGGGGGAGTGGGCTGAAGGTACAGGAGGTGTTTTGGTGGAAATTTGGACCTGATTTTGTTGTTTCATTTGGGATTGATGGTGGTGGGGGGAAGGTGGAGGTGAGGCAATGCCTGAGGAAGAAAGGATTAGGCATGAGGAGGAGAGGTTTTGGTCATGGGAGGACCGGGAAACATAGGCGCAGATGAGCTGACTACGACAGATTCCATCTTCTAGCTCTGGGTCTCCCCATTCTACCTGGCCATCCGATGGAGGAGGAGGAGAGGAAAGAAGGGTGTGAGAGAGTGAGGAGAGAGGAAAAGGAGAGGAGGCTATGACAGTGGAAGTAGCGCTTGTATCTAGGCTGTCTATCTCTCGCACATCTGGCCAGGGCACACTGGTGAAATCCTGCTCACCGAGGGTGCTCTTCCCTGGGGTAAGCCTGCTAGGTAAGAGCGAGCAGAGAAGCCCAGCTCGAGGGCTGAGGTGGGATGGCGAGCTGCTGTATGAGGACCAGCCACTCCTTGGACTGGCTGGACAGGACTCCTGCTGGTCAAAGGATCCTTGACCACTTCCACTAAAACCAAGGGACCTACAGCTGCTCGCTGCCCAGGATCGACGTATTCCACTAGAGCTGGTCTGGGCTGGGCCAGGGGACCTGTCTGCCATATTGGAGGAGAAAGACCTACAGAGGGTTTGGGATGTTGCTTGGGATGCAGGAGGTCCTGAAGGGGAAGAAGCTTTGGAACTACACAGTGGCACTGAAGAAGAAGAAGAAGAGGAACTGGAGAAAGGTGAATGCTCGAATGTTGGTGATCCTACGGAGGAAGAAAAGGAAGGAGAGGAGGAAGCAAATCTAGGGTTTCTAGGTTGAGGTGTTGCAACGTTATTTGTCCAAACATTCAGTGACACACCGATGGGAGGGGGGGAGAGGATACGAGGACTCACACATGAGGATGACTGCGCAAATGCTGAATTTGCCGAAGAGGCCCTGGAAAGCTCCAAAGTGAGGCCTAGTGGATTATGGGCACTTGCACTTCCTACTCTTGTACTCCGAGGATGACGAGGTTTGTTAGCCGAGGGGGAGGAGTAACTGTGTTGAGGAGGTGGAGAGCAAAGGTGAGTAAATGAAGTAGGGGTTGGAGATGGGGACTGAACTCGTGAGCTGGGTTCAGATGCAGGAAAAGGCCGAGCTACACGGTTGTGTGACCCAGAACAAACAGGATCATGAGTTTGTTCCGTTACTGTGACATTAGCGCCATTTGCTAGCAGTGCCTTCTGTGGACCTACTGACCAACCCCCGTTACAGCTGCTGATATTACTGTTGTTATTGTTGTTATTTAAATTGTGTGACAAGTCAGTTTTAGAGTGACGGCGTGATGGATGGGGCGGGGAGGAAGAAGAGTGGGCAGGCTGATGATGGGCCACAGATAGGGAAGGTGAGTTTTGGGGAAAAGGGAGAGAAGGAGACTGAATGTGGGATGGGGAGGGGCAAGAGGAACAGAGAGATAATGGCGGACACCTTGTATGTTGGTACCCATCTTTAGTGCACCTGAGCTGGGCACAAGCGGGTGTACTGGAGCCTTGCTGACTGGGAGGGAGTTTAGGAGATGGGAAGCACCGTCGTAGATGAGAAGAAGGTAAGGAAGGAGTGGAGGAGGGGCTTTGGTTTACTGTGTGTATGGGTAGGGTTTGTTGCCGGGCAGTGCTTTTTGCCATGCTCTGGCTGACGGACTGGCTGATACAGGAGGCAGCTAAGGATCTGGTAAATGCAGAGGAAGAAGCAATGGGGGAGGAGTGGAACAAAGATGATGGTGTAGGGGAGGAAGGAGGATCTGCTGATGGAGACTTACCAGAAGAAGAGAAAGAGGGGATGAAAGAAGTTGAAGGTGTAGGCGAGGAGGCAGGCGAACCCTTCATGGAGAAAAGCCTGCCAGAAGAGGGAGTAGGGGATAAACGGGAAATAGCCCTGGAGACAGTGTTTGGGGAGGCAACGCCTTCAGCAGACACGGGCACAGGAGAAGAAGAAGCTGGAACAGCTGAGGAGGAAGGCATGAGGGAAGAGGAGCATGGAGGAGCTCTAAAAGGAGAAGGGGAGCGGTTTCTGAGGCTTTGTCTGAAGGGTGAGGGGGCCAGGGTGGGTTCTGTATCTGGGCCACGGGTGGAAATGGCTGTGTTGGGTCGCTCCATCAGGCTGGATGTCACCAAGGAAGGTGTGGAAGATGGGCAGCTGCCTGAAGGGGGCCTGAGCACAGGCTGTCTGCTGGGAGAGCCTGGGCCCTGCTGGTCTGGTTCCCTGAAACTGTCAGAGAAACACAGATTAACTGGTATTCATTTTTGTGTCGGGAGACAAAATCCTTGTATGCTCAACATACTTAAAGCCAATTCTGATCCTGATTCTTGACCACTGATATTTAATGAACAGTAACAGTGGCTTCCTCATTCCTTTCACTGGTTTACATGCTGGTGCATTGATTCATCATTTCTGGACCACAGCTTCCTCCTTTTTACGTTCCAAACTCATCTTTAACCTCAGTTTTAATGCGGCTGATTTCATTCAGCGAATGAACAAGTTCCTGTATAATTACAGTTGCCACAGTCGGTGTAAACATTTTGACTTTCTGTTTGGTGTTTAGTTCCAGCACTAGTGTGATTCACCAGCAGAAGAGACAATGCAATCTGTTAGGAATTCTGTGGGAGTGAGAAGAGTAAAACAAGATGATATAACTGTTTTTATTTGCATTATATGCTTTTATAAATCTGACTGTAATAGCTGTAATCTAGACTGAAAACACTACTGCTTGTGTTTCCACCAACCAATTTTCCATTACCTTGGAAAAACTCTAAATTTGATTTTAGCTCACAGATATTCAATCAGTTGAAGTGTAACTGGAACACACAATGATGTGGCTTAAGGCAAAATTCCTACAGCCAGAGAAAACCATGGTGATAGACCACACCGTGTTATTATAATTTGGCATGAACTCAAAGTTGAGTGCTCACGCTTGAGAAGAACCCCGAGGCCCATGCTTTTGAGAACTGGGCATGACCTAATGTTTAGCTTTATATTAAATATTATACAATTAAAATCTGGCCTCCCTCGCAAAAGAAATCGTGCTATACCGGTGTGTGCACTGGTCATTAACACACGTATTTATTCATGAGGACTGAATCTGCCACAGACATACCTATGTTCACATGGAGTAGTGTCACCGACATTCCAGGTGTTAGACAACGTGGCGGGTAAGTCCGGCAGACTCTGGCTGGTGAATGTTGGCAGACAGTCTACAGGCTGCCCTGATGGAGGGCATGGCTGGGGGGGATTGGATTCTGACTGATGCACTGAACACCATGCACTTGGTGCTGCCTCTTCTCTTGCTTTGTGACCCTCTGGGATTTCTGTGTTTGTATTATTAGGAACCTGAGAGGGGTCAAAGGTCAGGTGCAAAGGCTGACTGATGGGTGGCGTCACAACTACTTCCCCTGAGGATCTGTAGTAAGGGCCCTCCTCTGAAAAGGTCGCTGCTGAGTCTTCTAGAACCAGCCTGGTTTGTGATGGATCATACTGTGTCTCCTTTATTTTTATCTGCTCATCTTTCTGTGGTGCTCCACAGGCCCCGAGGGGCCTCGAAGCCCCCTCCTCCAGGTGAAGCGTTTCCTCTCTGCCCGGTCCTGGGAGAGACACCACAGAGCCGTGACACTCTGCTGCAGCCAGGCTCTGTGTAATTGCTGCTATGGGTACCAGCTCTCCTGGCAGTACCTGACCAGGGATGGCTTCTGTGCAAACCAAGATTTCAGGCCCTGCATGAACACTCTGCACATCTTTTGTTGCTGCATCCTGGTTGTCACTATGTCCTGTGGAGATTTTATACTCTGGTCCATTTATATCGTGTTTATTTTGTGGAGTTGGCTTCTGCTGCTTCTGCTTATCCTGCTCATCGGTATCTTTGGATGTGTTCCACTGCAGTGTGCTGTAAGCACAGCGGTCTAGCTCTGAGTGGCCTGGCTGAGTAATGATGTTTACAGATGTAGGTCCTTCTCCAGCTAAGGAAACGGGGCCTCCAGCGCTCTCCTCTGACCTGCAACCAGAAGGACAACGAACCAGCGTTTTCTGGATGTATGTCTAAACTTCAATTGAGAGTTACACTGACAAATGACACAACCTGATAATATGCATCCAGTCCTGCCAATGAACACTAATGAATGGTTCCAAAAATACTCTGAGAATGGGAAACCTGAAAAATCCTATCTGGTTTCCATTTCCCCAGAAAAGTTTAAGGTCCCAGTTACCATATCTGTGTGTGTTCCATGTTAGTCATAGTGCTAAGTATTTATCATCACAGTTTGAGAAATAAATGTGTATGCACCTAAAAGTGAACTTGGGATTTCTTGTGTTTGCTTCTCAGTCACTTAACATGAAAACCTGGCAATCAATAATCAAGAATATTACTCTTCATAACTAACTGACCTCTCGTGTGTGGTCAGCACAAAGGGTTATTATTTTACCTACTCTCATAAGGATCATCACACTGGACTAATAATTCCATATGTGAGTGATGTACAGTAAGTTTTCATAATTAAAACCATTGGAGCTTCACAAATTCCTTCATCCCTCTGGTGGATTATGAGGACATACTTTAAACTGTATTCTGAGCAAACATTCTAGTGTAATGTTCATATAATTTCCAAGCCCTAAAAAGGTCTGGAAAATACAGTTTTATTAGGAAGAGATGAAAATATCAGAAGAGGTGGTTTTGTTGGCGTATTTATCTGGGAATAAACTGTATTCTGAGCAAACATTCTAGTGTAATGTTCATATAATTTCCAAGCCCTAAAAAGATCTGGAAAATACAGTTTTATAAGGAAGAGATGAAAATATCAGAAGAGGTGGTTTTGTTGGCGTATTTATCTGGGAATAAACTGTATTCTGAGCAAACATTCTAGTGTAATGTTCATATAATTTCCAAGCCCTAAAAAGATCTGGAAAATACAGTTTTATAAGGAAGAGATGAAAATATCAGAAGAGGTGGTTTTGTTGGCGTATTTATCTGGGAATAAACTGTATTCTGAGCAAACATTCTAGTGTAATGTTCATATAATTTCCAAGCCCTAAAAAGATCTGGAAAATACTGTTTTATTAGGAAGAGATAAAAATGTCAGAAGAGGTGTTGGCGTATTTATCTGGGTAAAAGTTTTCCATCATATTACACTCCTTTACTTTTCTAAAGTCATTCAACCAAACTGACCTGTATGTGTATTTAGACACTCTGATAAATGTCTACTGAATATTTGTAATGCACTGCAAGACCTGAGTTCTAATTTCATCAACTGTGGGAGGCTGATGTGGTACAAATTACTGGAAAACACCGCTGCTGAGTGTGACTCAATGAGAAATCATCAAACCTACAGTTGAAACTTTTTACACCAAATAGTTCAGATAAACTGGGTGAAGTGCGATTATTCATGCAGACCCTAGGCTTCCTGTAATAAGGAAGCACTCAGAGAAGTCCAGATTTTTGGAACCAGCATCCGGAGGCCACTGGAGGCACTGCAGTATGTTTACATACTGATTTTACCGTTCAGCTCTCGAAGTCTTCACCTTCATATCTCTGTTAAATACAGTCCATTTTAGTAGGCAGTGTGGGAGGTGGGTCACCTATTTACTCCCACCACACTAGACATTTCTATCCCATCCTTTACTCTAGGCCCACCTTGCTGCCATTTACCAGTCATTCCTCTAAATATTATCCACTCACCTCTGTCTTCTCTCAGGCTGTTCAGTGTCTGAATAAACCTCTATGTTCTGACCCAAGGCTTCTTGTCTGCTTGTGGAAGAGGCAGAGCACAAGTCCCTGCACTCGGTGACTCTACAGTCCAAGGTCATGGTTGACATCAAGGGGATGTTAGTGGCAGAGCACCATAAACTGGAGCTCGGATCTTCAGCTTGTGTACTCAGGCGCTGCTTGGATGCTGTGGTAGAGGTGTACCCGGGGTCGTAGCCGGGTGACTGATCTCTCAGTGAAGTGGGTGGATTTTCCCCAGGTGCAGTGGAAATCTGGCTATTGTCAGCTGATCTACAGCCCACACTGGAGTCTCTTTCTTTGGTCAAGGCAGAGATGAAGTCCCTGGGCCTGGAGAGGGTGAACCCGTTCATCTGGTGGAGACAGGCTTGGCTTACCTGCTCTTTAACAAACAATTGACCAAACAGCAGAGACTCATGGGGGGCCGGCACTGTCTCGGGGAAATCTAGAAGAGAACAACAAACAAAGACCTCAGTGATGAATTCCAATGACCATTAACCAAGTAGCAGCACAGTTCAAGGAACAGTAATGCTGCTCAGTCTGATGGTTCAAGACTTTCTCCAAAGTGAATTATCTTTCAGCCCAGACTACTGAAGCTCTAACAAACCTAATGTCACTGGATCTTACAAGTAGTTTTAGACAGGGCCAACCTACCATTTGTCAGGCTCTCTGCTGCCGTTACCAACCCCTCTTCCAGGATCCTTCGTTCTTCTCGGCTCACTGTTTGGGTCTGGCACTGGCTTTGTAAATGTGTCTGACTCCACATCTGGCTCTTAGTTTGGATCTGTGATTGTTGTCTAGATTCTGTTGTGGTTTGGTTCTGGACCTTGTTCTCCGAGTGACTTTTGGTTCTGTATTTTCTGTCTGTGTGTGTATCTGATTGACTGATTTCCATATGGTGCTGTATTTGCTGCCGGCACCTAGTTAGGCTTCTGGCTTCAGTCTGAGTTGAGGGTCCAGAGAGTCTACCTGAGGCCCAGGACTGGTTCCAACCAGTGCCAGCACGCTTCTGATGCAGTGGGACCTTCATGGTGCTGGCTTTGGCACTGTACATCTGGGCCAGTGTTTGAACCTTATTCAGAATACGCTCAGAGTTTTCCACCAGGACAGGGTCCACCACAGGACTGGCCTCAAATAACCCAATACCGGCTACATCTGACCCCATGCCTTCAAACAAGGCCCGGTTAGCTGAGACAACCCTGGAGTGTTGGGACCATCGACTCATTTTTATCTGACTGGGAAGGCCATCAAGATTCCCACTGCTTTTGGCCACGTCTCTGTTTCTGGTTGTAGTCCAGTTGGACTGAGTTTTGGTCTCAGTTTTTTGACACTGTTCTGTAGGTGTCAGAGATGTAGACAGCTCTCTGCGGCTTCCATTTGATTCTACAAGACCTACTTTGTTTGGTTCAGGCACATTCACAACAGCTTGGTTTCCTGCACCGGTTTCGGCTGTTTCGTCTCTGCACTTGTGCTTTTTGGTAGCAGGTGGATCTTCTCTTTGTGGTGAATTTCCACCTTGCTCCCCAGTAGCCACAGCACCTGTCCTCCCCTCCTGCCCTTCCTCCTGTTTTTCCTGCAGCGGTAGTTTGCAGACCTTTCCATTTTTGTCACATGCCTCCGTCTCTTCTCCAACAGGCCTGGTTGGGGTGAACTGCACATTCAGACCGTCTTGGCTTGGGGCCTCCTTGTCTTGCATCACAGCTGAGGTTGTTGACTTGATTAAACCCTCTTCATCAAAATCCAGAGAGCTGATTATCTGTGTGCCATTCTCTGCATCTGCCAAGAGAAGAGCTTGGGAAGAGATGGGACTAGGAGCTGAACAGGCCTCTGTACCTTGATCGGGCTCTCTGTCCATTGCTTCAGTTGTTTCATTCTTGGATCGTTCACTCTCTGTCCCCCCCTGGTGTCCACTCACATCAAAGCGTGATACAGACTCCTTCACCAAGCCAGATGGGATTTGTGAAAAACTCTCTCTCCGCCTTAATGCCACTCCTTCTCCCTCTTCATCTTCCTCCTCGGCCTCTGCCTCTTCAGCCTCAGCCGCTGCCTCGTAGTAACTCCTGATCTTTTCGATTATCTTCTTGTCACGTTTGGTGAGGTGGGAGCCTCTCTTGGGTGGCTGGCGTCTTTGAATGGGGTGTTGCGGGAGATGTGGATTTGGGGTGGAAGTGACGCCCACGGTGTTTGCAGCTTCCTTCAGTAAGTGACAGCTGCTGTTCCCTGTTTCTTCCTCTGCTGGTTGGAGGTCTGATGTGGGAGCAGGAGCGACGTTCTCTTCCTCTCCTTCATCTCCTGTTTTCTTTTCTTCTTTCTCTTTTTCTAGCCCCTCACCTTGTGTCTCTCCATCTCCTTCCACTTGATTTGTTGCATCTGAAATTTCTTGGCCTTGATTTATTTTCTCATCTTTGAGTCCAAGTTCCTTGGCGGAGCCACCGGGTGGACCTTGGAAGGTGCCGTTGTCCTCCATCTCTGTTCTTTCCTGCTCCTGTTGAATTACAGGTCTTTGCTCTGTTCTGGAGGGGCAGGCGGCAGGGGGCAGCGGGGAGGTGAAGCTGCTCTGGTTAGATGGAGGCTGACACTCTTTGGGTCCATCTAGAACCTTCTCCTGGAAGAAAAGACAGACAATGTTGTTTTTTTTTAATTACTCTACCGTGAACGCTCACTGTCAAGGAGACTTGGTTAGTGTAAGGGTCTTTTGGTTTGTCCAGATGAGGCCTACATATACTGGTAATCACTGATCAGCCTCCAGTAAAAGAATCCTAATGGTTCTGTGCTATCGACAGGCACTTGTACAGGAAATATCCTAACAGGCAGATTCCCATTAAATTTGATGAGCCCATTCATGTTGACAAATCCCAAATTTAATGAACTTGGCCTTTAATCCCACTTCTAATGAGACACTAGGAGCAAAGGAAGTGTCACATGGTTCCTTTTGAACTTTTCTGTTTGGGGGTTTAAAGTAGACTGTGTCTGTCTCGCCCTGGTCTGACTCATCACTTCATGTTGCAGATGACAGTGCACTTCAATATAATACAGCGGTTTAAAGCTGATCAAACGTTCTGATAAATCAGGCAGCAAGCAGAGCTGTTTTGCACACCGAGTCGAGTGTATTCTCACCGTTGCATCAGCATGAAAGGAGACGAGTTCCTCCCTTGCTCTGCTCTGGTTGATGAACTCCAGGATCTCTTCAGTGATGGACAGAGTGGGAGGAGGGCTGAGGGGGGTCAAATCCTCTTCCTCCTCATTCGTTAAGAGCACATTTGAGTGCAACAGGACACCATTAGCATTATACAAGCAGAATCTTTTACATATAGTACAAGTTAAGTCAAATAAGTTTATTTTCACTTTTTTTGATCAAATCTAATCCATCACAGTAAAATACCTGTTCCTGGCTAGGTCGTAGCTGTGGCGCTGGGCCCGGCTCAGCCTGCTCAGGCTCCACCTCGATGACGGAGGAAGCGAGTGTGCTGCTGCTGCCTGCTGAGCCCAGACTGTCTGTCGGGCACAGCTCTCCTTCGCTGCCTGCCTGCTGCAAAACAGCATCCAGCTACAGTCGGCATGAAAAGGCGACTGGTTCTTCACCTGGCAGCTGATCTTTATGTTAGAGTCTGACTAAAGCACCCTGTAGTTGTGAACTTGTGCTAAAAACCATCACACTTTTTTGAATGATCTCCCTTAATGAGGCTGCATTTCCTTATATAAGCGAAATCCTATATGCTGCCTTTATTAAATGGCTCCTTCCTGTGGCACACCTCCCTCCAGCATCCTGCTTAACCACAGAATCCATCACAACAAACAGCAACACATTTGTACAGTGATGTCAGTACAGCTCCTGTGGAGCAGATTATCATTTGGCAGCAGTATGAGGGTTAGTTTTTGGTGTTTATGTTCCAACAAGCATGGCACAGCAAACAATAACAAGCTTGACATGACAGGTTATGTGCTTACCTTCAAAGCTGCAGGATTCCCCAGGCAGAGTGATGGTGATAGATGAGAGACAGGTGGGGGCAGAGAAACAGAGATGATATCAACACATCGTTACTGTCTGACAGACACTTAACCTCTTGGCAACCACACCAGAAAAAATAAAAGCTGTCTCTGATGTGGATTGGATGTGTAGCTCTGCAGGGCTCCGGGTCAGCTGTGCACAGCCGAGCCAGACCAAAGCCTGGGCTCACGCCACCTGAAACACTGTCAGTGAAGCACGAAGCCCAAAGACCCCTCACAGAGCTGGAAGACACTCAGCTTCTGTAACAATATGGCACACGTGACATGTTCCTACATGACCTTTTGTAGGAAAGAGCTTAAGGTTGAAATTTTAAAGGCAAAGCATAACTACAAATCAAAACTGGAAAGTAAGATGGCAGCAAATAAACTTGGTTCTGCTTGGACAAGCATGAAGACTATTGCAGGTCTTCATAGAACAGCGCGTAATACTCGGGTCTCTTTAGATGGTTTTAACTCAGATATAGAGTTGGCAAATGCTCTTAATGGTTTTTATGGTCGGTTTGATTCTTTTGATTTTAGTACTGAGACCCAGGAACTGAAACAGAAACTTAGAGACACTCTGCATTTTAATATTGAGTTGCAGGACATCAAAAAGGCGTTCTGTGCGGTAAGAGTAAATAAAAGTTGCGGCCCAGATAATGTATGTGGGCGCTTAGTGAAGTCTTGTGCACATGAACTGAGTCCTGTGTTTCAGTATATTTTTAATAAGTCTCTAGGCTCTGGAAGGATGCTGTTGTTGTCCCTGTTCCTAAATCCAGCTGTCCTGCAACTCTGAATGATTTTAGTCCAGTCGCTCTGACTTCAGTTTTAATGAAGATTTTTGAGAGGCTGGTCAGATCGGAGGTCCTGAGGCAGACTGAACATGTACTGGATCCTTTGTGGTTTGCATATAGGACTCACAGAGGAGTGGAGGATGCCACAATTACTCTGCTCAATATGCTTTTTAGGCATCTGGATCAAAGTGGGACACACGCCAGGCTTTTATTTGTGGATTTTTCTTCTGCTTTTAATACAATACAGCCTCACATTTTAAT